TAGAGCTTGGGGGCGAGATAAATCTGGGAGCCTTCTGGACCCCTAGCTTTTTGCTATAAGGGGTGGTTTGGCTGGATGGTTGGAGAAGGGAGGCGGTGGGATCTGTGGACTTGTTAGCTGTCCGGCACTGATGCCCAGAAATAGCAAGATAGAAGGCATGGTTCTTCCCTGTCGGGACAGTTCAAACGGGGGGAAGATACGTGGACTGATCACAAAACTGTGCAGATTTTCCTAAACTGTGTTCCTGAGAGTACTGGGACTCCAGTAGGGCTTAACTGGAGTGGCTTCCTAAGGGAAGAGAGTGTTGAAGAAACTCCTGCAATAAGAAAGGCCTTGTATGCCAGTCAGGAGCATTGACTGGACAGAGATGCTCGACTCCAGTTGCAGGTTCGGAACGGAGTACACAGAGGAATGGATTTTTGACAGTCCTGGTGACAGAGAAGGTTAAGGCCAGAGGGGCAGTTTAAGTATGTAGTGGGGACATGGGGCTGAGAAGGAAGAGGCAGAGGTGTGGCCTCTCACCAAGCGTCTGGTCTTGTGTGCTGGGGTAAGTTGAGTCTGTCACTAAGTGCAGAGGAGGATTTCATCACTTACAGGAAAAGCACCCACTTATCTGAAATCTGACCTACTTTGGGGTTGTAGCCAGACAGGGCTCTTGCATCCCTCAGGGGGACATTCAGTCCGTAATTGTCAAAATCGGTGCATCAGCCCTGGCTGGTTTGGCTCAGCGGTTGGAGTGTCGGCCAGCGGACCAAAGTTGCTGGTTCAATTCTGGTCAAGGGCATGTACCTCGGTTGCAGTTTGGTCCCCAGCCCTGGTTGGGTTGTGCGAGAGGCAACTGAACAATGTCTCTCTCACATCAATGTTTCTCCTCTCTCTCTTCCTTCCACTGAAGATAAATGGAGGGATATCCTCAAGTGAGGATTATTTTTTTAAAAAATACGTTTTTATTGATTTTTTTGAGAGGAAGTAAGAGAGAGAGAGAAACATCGATCAGCTGCCTCCTGCACACCCACTACTGGGGATCGAATCCACAACTTGGGCATGTACCCTGACCCGGAATTGAACTGGGACCTCTCAGTCCATGGGATAACAATCCACTCAGCCATGCTGACTGGGCTTGGGTGAGGGTTAAAAAAAAAGAAAATCGCCCAGCTGGTGTGGCTCAGTGGTTGAGTGTCAACCCATGCACTGAGAGGTCGCTGGTTCGATCCCTGGTTAGGGAACATGCCCAGGTTGTGGGCCTGATCCCCAGTGGGGGCATGCAGGAGGTGACTAGTTGATGTTCTCTCTCATCGCTGTTTCTCTCCCTCTCCCTCTCTCTAAAATCAATTGAAAAAAAAAATTGGTGCATCATCTCCCACCACTCCCACCACCACGGAGGCACTGGGGACTGATATTGTCCCTCTGGGTGTCTTAGGTGGTGAGGTAGGTTTAACAGGGCCAAACAGTCTGTGGTCCTGCGGAGTAAATGCTTTCCTGTACCCATTATGCCACAGGTGCAGCCCTACTCTGCTGAGGTGCCGTACTTGTGGGACTCAGCCGTTCACCTTTCTCATTCTGGGTCCGCATCATGAGGTAGTGAAGGGCTCTGCTGGGAGGCAGGACCTGGTAGGTAGGGAGAGTCCAGTGTCTTCTGGGAATGACAGGCCAGATACCTTTTTTTCCTCTTTATTGATTTTAGAGGAAGTGAGAAGGAGAGAGAGAGAGAAACATTGATGAGAGAGAATATCGACTGGCCACCTCCTGCATGCCCCCCAGTAGGGACTTGGCCCAAAACCTGGGCATGTGCCCTGACCGGCACTTGAACCAGCGACTTCTTGGTGCATGGGTCGATGCTCAGCCACTGAGCCACACTGGCCGGGCAGGTCAGATAATCTTTAAGGTTCCTCTTTGCCTCTGCCTCCTTTGGTTCTCTGCAAGTAATTTTAAGCCACTTTTTGGTTCGATCAACGACATTTTATTTAGTGGGTTGAATCTCTTGGTCAGCAAGAGAAATTTGACAGGTTAGAAAATTGACTGACTTCATCTGGGAAGGAGTAGCTTCGAGTTCTGGTAAATAAACAGGAAAGTGCCCTCGCCGGTTTGGCTCAGCGGTTAGAGCGTTGGCCTGCGGTCCAGAGGGACCCGGGTTTGGTTCCCACTAAGGGCACGTACCTCGGTTGCAGTTTGTCCCTGGCTCTGGTTGGGTCGTGCAGGTGGCAACCACTTGATGTGTCCTTTTCACGTCGATGTTTCTCTCTCTCTCCCTTCCACTCTATCTGAACAAAATATCGAAAAATGTCCTTGGGTGAGGATAAAATAAATAAAACAGAAAAGAAGACAAGGATGAGGGAGAGCAGAGTAAGGAATGGCACTTGGTGAAAATTGGCTGGCAGCAACAGCCAAGGGGCAGAGAGGCAGGAGTGAAGCCATGTTCGGAAATGGATCCAAATCGCCTGGTGGATTCTGGGGAGGCCGGGCACAGTTCCAGTGCAGCCTTGCTCTGACCGGGGCGGCAGAGCCTGGGAAGCTGAGGTACACAGGGATCCAACCTGGAAACTGCACAGACAGCAAAGCTGTCGTGAGGGGTTTCCTGCTTCTACCCCAGGTCTTCACCCCAGCTGAGTGCTGAGCTTGCTGTCCAAGAAGCCACAGCCTTTGAGGGGATGGTTGAAGTTCTGTGCTACCTGCTCCTAACTCTACCCTCTCTCCCTCAGCTTTCTCTCAAGTAGGGTCAGGTGTTCTAAGGCCAGTAGCCGTAGTTGAAGGTGGGGCCTCAGCGACGAGTGGGTTCGTGGGGAATGATGTGCTGTGGAATTGGGATAGCTGAGGTGATGGAGTTCATTGCTTTTCAATGCCCCTGCCCCTGAGCCGGATTAGACACCTTACTGAGATGGTCTACTGCAGTCGCTGAGGGAGCAGTAGGATGAAGGGCAGCTTGGAGGAGGCAGGAGCAGAACATTACGGAGAGTTGTCAGGGTCAGCCATGTGCTGAAGGGGCTGGAGCTGGAAGGAAAAGACCCACTCAGGCTCTGAAGGGGACCTGGGGCTGGGGCTGGGGTTGGGAGACTCCTCAGATCTGAGAGTGGGCTGAGCCAGAGAAAGCCCCGTCTGGAGCAGGAGTAGGGATGGAATGACCATGGAAGATGGAGTCAACTGGGAGATGCTCCCCCCACCTGCCACAATGGCTCCAGCTCCTTTTCCTGGAAGAGTTACCTTCATCCTGAGGTCTCACCGTAGCCCCAGGCCTTAGCTTGGGAATGAGGTTAGCATGATTTTGGTGAGGGGACAGAAGGCTCCACCACGTTGGTCTTCGGGGCTGGGCCTACAGCTGGAGCCCTCGGGAAGAGGGGGGCCTTATCCTTCTGCTTAGTGGGGGGACCTATGTTATAAGGGAGAGCCCTGGATTGGGGTAACAAGATCTGGGCCTGACCACCTCCAAGTTCTTGTCACCTCCTCTCCTTTGACTTCAGTTTCCTATTTAGTTGAACCAAAAAGTCACAAAGGGTCTGAAGTCCCTTTTGGCCCCAGCAGTCCTGCTCTGCCAAGCCCTTCATTTGTATGGTCTCTGATCTGTACAGCAGCACTGTGTGCAAGCAGAGGCATTGCTTCCCTTTCACAGGAACGTGGGCAACGGCGACGCCAAAGGCTATGCTGCCAGTCAGCGCAAGGCCAGCAGGAACCCAGGGCTTTTGATGCCATCATCTGGATTCTCCCACCACCCCTTTGGCGAGTCCCCCCAGCTGTGTGAAGCGGGAGAGGGAAAGGGAGAGGGAGGGTCACTGGGTCCCATTCTGGCCCCTCTAGTGGGCTTTGTTCCTTCAGAAACACCAAGTGGATCACTAGGCAGTTCTGTCTTCCCCACACCTGCCCATCCTGTTACATCCTGTTCTCTGACTTTGACTTCCAGCTCTTGCTATACAATGAACTCCTTTTTCTGCCTCCTCCCCCTGCCACAAGCAATCAGCCACTAGGTGACTCCCTGAGTCTAATCTGAGACCTTTCTTGCACTTTCAGCCTCTCTGATGTATGCAAACCATCTGCTCCCTGCCCTCTCTCTCTCTCCTCTTGCTCAGGAGGGAGTTGAGACCTACAGACAGCAGGAACTGGAATCCCAGCTCTGTTGACTCAGCAACCATATTTCTCCTTAAGCTGATTAGCGCTGGAGTGGAAAGGAGGGGAATTTGCTTGTCACTGGAGCTGGCACCTGCACCAGGCTGGGTGATGTGATGGCTGCAGCACCCAGGCCTAGGGGGACGTGGCTGCAGAGACGGTCCGGGGGTTTCTGGGCCTGGGGTGGGAGAAGGAACCTGACGGGCACGGATTGCCTTGAACAGACTGCACAGATGGGACCATTGGAGTCCCTGGGCCTGAGTGGCTTTGGTGGGGGGGGGGGGGGGGGCACAATCCAGGGGGCAGACAGGCCTGCTGGGAAGAGCCCCAGTCTGAGACAAAAATAAAACCTAGGGCAGATTCTTCCAGGTGATTGAAGCCTGAAGTCTGGAGCTCTGCAGCGGGGCAGGAGGCTGCCCTGAAGTGGATCTGGGCAGAGAGGGGAGGATGCTTCACAAAAGGGGTGGGGAAGAGAATTGGGGTCCTGACTGAGGACAAGCCTACAGCCTTGGCCTTGCTTGGAAGACAAAGAGTCTTGGAGCCACTGTGAGGGCTCCTTGTCCTCGAGGGGTTCACACACAGGCTGACAGTGCCCTCTCCCCATTCCCAATCTGTGCTGGGCAGGGGGCTTGGGGAAGGAGGTGCAGGGGCTACCCTCAGCCACTTCCTTTCCTGGCATCCACAGGAGACAGAGCCACCCCCCCGTCCCTGGCTGCCTGCCCATCCCAACCCAGTTAGGGAAGGAACACTTTGCAGAGAAAGGTCTGTGTCCCTTGTCTTGGTGTCTCTCAACCCCCAGACCTCTCTTCCTCCCTCTGCAATGGCGGTTCAGCCAACCACCTGCCCTTCCACATGAGAGAGCGTCAGAGACAGAAGGAGCCTGGAGTACTTGGATCCCTGCAGGGGGAGGTAGTTGGTGATGATTTATTAGCCAGACAAGAATCAACAAACAAGTTCTAACATCTGTTCTCGCCAAACCAACCCTCAGGCAACAGCAGCATTGGACCAGGGCCGAGGCCCAAAGGCTCAGAGGGCCAAGGAAATCGGACTCCATGAGGAGAGGCCAGGGCAGTGGGAGGCAGCAGGGCCCTACTAGCCCACATCCTTACAGAAGCACCAAACACGGAGGAGTCTGGGAGGGAGTCGGTGGGTGTGTTCCTAAAAGGAAGTGGATTCCACATTTGTTCCTCCGACCTCCAGGCTTCTTTGTGGGGGTCCCAGACCTGTCAAGGTAACAGGGGTACCTGGGATCTGGAGGAAGGGAACCAGCATCCAGGACCCAGTGCTGTGGAACTCAGGAACGCAGCCAGATTTCCTATCTTAGGAAACTTCTGACATTTCCTGTGAAGACTTAGGGGATGTGGGGTCAGGAACACAGTACTGAACCCGGGAATTAGGAGGCCTGAGTTCTAGTCCTTGACTTCAGCCGAGTCACTATCCCACGTTGTCTTTGTTCCTTATCTGCCCAGCGAGGGTGTTGGACGTGATCAGGGCAAAACAGATGCTGCTCCTCTTCCCTCCCTCACCCATAGCAGACATCACTAATCGACCACGGTGCTCTTTTTTGCTGAGTTCAGATATGACCTTAACATCCTTTCCAATGCAGCGCCTTGGGCAGAAGGACCAATGGATTGGAGTTGGCATTCAGGGTGACACCTTTTTGCCATCTTCGCAATAGATGATGGCTGAGGTCCTTTCCAGCGTTGATCGATCACCTACAGCTGGTTCCATCCACTTTTCCTTAGAATGGCACCTGGGGGTGTGTAAAGTTCCCGGGACCGACGTTCCAGGTCGTCCTCCCTCAGCTCAGGCTCACTGGCTACTGATGAGGCCCCAGGGGACGCCGTGCCTGTCCGCGGTCCTGAAGCACGTTCTAGAAAAGGTGTGAGGGAGGCTGTGTCCTCAGAGAGGCAGGGGCTGGTGGGGCACAGGAGGGCCTTGTCTAGCCAGAGATTTCTCAGAATGCAGTTGCTGGCCACCTGGATTCTGCAGAGAGGACAGTCGTAGGTCACACCCTCTACCCTCTGCCTCTTAGGCTCCCTGCAGCCTTGAGGGCCAATCCATCTGGTCTTAACAGGCATTGGTTAAATCCCTCTCATTCATTCAACAGACACCTCCTGAGCACCTGCGCTGTGCCAGGCACGGTGCCATGTGCTCTGGAAACAGAGATGACTAGTCCCAGCCTCTGCCCTCAGGGAACTCACACTCTGCTGGGCAAGGGGAAGCCGGGGTCCCAGGTGCTCAGTGGCAGGTGTGTATGACACACAGTGGATGGCCTCTGTGGCCAGGGCAGGGAAGTCTTTCCAGAGGAGGAGAAGGGCATGCTGGTCTGGTAGGAGGATTAGAAGGTTCCCAAGCAGCAGGAAGGTGTACTCGCAGGAAGTTGATACAGGCAGAGGGACTGTCATGTGCAAACCCCAGGAAGCTTGAAACCACGTGATGTATTTGGAGAAACATGAATAGTTCTGGGAGGATGGGTGAGAAGGTTGAGGAGGTGGCACCCTCCCTGCATCCCCCCACCCCCGAGTATGGAGGGTCTCATGGGCCAGGCAGCTGTTTTAGAAAGACCACAGTGGCTTCCTTGGGGTACTGTGGACCAGAAGTGGCGAGACTGGTGGTTAGAGATCAGTTAAGAAGCTCTTGGAAAAGTCCCGAAGAGAGAAGATGGGGCTTGAAACTGGGGAAAGGGAAACTATATTTGGGAAGAGACCAGCAGAAATCAGTGACCTACAGGGGAGGGGGTGAAGGGAAGGTGTGGAAGGAGCCCTAGGATTCTGGCTTGGATGGCTGGGCAGCTGGAGCGTTGTGGATTTGGACAGAGATCGTGGGAGGGAGCAATCTGCGGAGAAGGGGGAGGGCAGTGCTGGCTGTGTTGAGTTCGAGGGGCTGTGGGACCCTAGCGAGTGGAGCAGAAGCCTGGAGAGAAGTTTGGATGGAGACCTGGACTGGTGACATCAGCTCTAGGATGGCAGCAGGTGGCAGGGGTGTGGGTGAGTGTGAACAGACACAAGGGCTGAGGGGGACCTGGGGCGCAGCAGGGAGAGGGTGGGAGAGGGCAGCCTCAGAGCGTCAGGGGGGGAGCAGATGGTTCTGGGAGGTGGAGGGATGGAAAAGGGAAGGGGTGCAGGGGTGGGGTGCAGTGCAGGTGCTCATCTGAGATGACACGGAGACTCCAAGCCCAGGGCAGGGCGATGAAGGCTGAGGGGAGGGAGCCAGAGCAGGAAAGTCTCCACATTCAGACCGGTAAGGAGAGGGCGGGTGGGGCCAAGATTCAAGGCACCGGTTGGGGTCAATCTCAGGTGAGTGGCAAGTGGACCACCTGGGTGAGATGGACACCAAGCAGAACACAGGCTCTGGTGGGGGAAGGCCATGGGGGCTGCCTAGGGCCTCTGTGTTCCCTGCGAATTAGGAAGGGATGAACTGCTGAGAGGTGAAAGGGGTGAGGACTTAACAAAGGGCCCGAGTGACCCGAGTGACCCCCAGGAGAGGAGGAGGAAGTAGCCTCTGGGCCTGCAAAAGGAGTGCTGGCAGCCTGGACTCCTTCCTTCCTTCTCCCCTCAGACCTCTGACCTTCCCCTGACCCAGGCATCCAGGCTGAACCCTTCCCAAGCTAGCTTTCAGGAAGCCCTGTGACCTAGCTTTTCCCTGCGTCCCCACTTGCCTGGCTTCCCTGGACAGGCCTGGACTGGCACTTCCGGAGGACCGAGTGCCAGAAGATGCACCGCGGGCCCTGAGCCCCTGGCGGCACCTCCAACTCCACCTCCGCGTAGATGTTGCTCGGGGCTTCCCCGGGGCTGCCCCGGCCCATCGCATAGAAGGCTATGGGTTCCTCAGGCTCCTGGTAGATGGGGTTGGAGAGCTTGGAGGGCAGGGCCGGGCAGGGTCGTGGATCTGGGCTAGTGTAGACTTCGAGGGGTAGCTGAGGTCTGGCGGGAACAGGAGGCTTGGGCCTAGGTGGCTGGGGGGGCTAGGAGAGAAGGTGGCCACGGAGAGCAACCCAGATAGAGTCACAGGGGGAGCCGGGAGCTGGAGCCCCAGCCAGAGCCTGTGCCCTCTGCAGACCCCGCCCTTCCCTTCCCCGTGGCCCCGCTCCTCACTGGCCATGACCTCCTATCCTCTCCTGGGTCCTCACCTCCCTCCTGCCCGGCCTCCTCCCCGTTCCTCCAGCCCAATACCTCCTTTGGCTCGCTGCCCCCCTCTTTCTGTGTGGGGGCTCTGGGCTTCTCCTTTTTGAGGATTGGCCTATACTGGGGGTGCGGGTCTTGGCTTTTGCTTCCAGAGTCTGATTCTTCAGTCCTTAGGGAAAGTCCTGCTGGCTCAGGAGTCTGCAGGAAAAGGAGGCTTGAGAGACATGGGTGAGGAGGGACCAGCAGGTGGGGTGGGCCGGTGACCCAGGACAAATAAACGGTCCAGGTGGAGGATGGGGGCGGGCACAGGAATTTGGCCTGTGCTGGGTTCCCTGGGTGAAGAAGAGGGTATGAAGATGGGAAGGAGACCAGGGGGTGGGGAAGTAGCTCTGGTCATGGGCAGTATCTAGCATTAAACTTAATTTTGTCTGGAACACAGGGCCAGGCAGGTCTCCATTTGTGCCTGTGGTTGTAAAAATGCAACAAGGCTGGAGAAGTCTGTAGCCTAAAACTGTTTGGCATGATAGATCTCCAAGACTGCTGTGCCTGTTTATTTCTGCAGGTGCCAGAGAAGTACTTTGTGAGATATAAGCTGGATATTTTAGGGCAGACAGACTGCCTCAGGGGAGATGAGCCTTCTCACAATAGGTGTGCTTTTAGTTTGGCATTTAGCCCTGGGCTCATGAATGCTCCCATATGCCCCCTTCTGCTGGTACGCTCAGGCCATAGGCTTTTCTGTGCCCCTCAATCCACCAAGTGCATGTCTCCGTCTGGAGGTACACCGGCGCTGCAGGCTTCGTGGATCCAAACCAGAATTCTTATTCCCTGCCCCAACCCCCTCCTCGCTCAGCATTCCCTTTATGATTAAAAAATGTCCAGCCTCCGTCTGGTCATCCTTGCCCCTCCCAAACTTACCAGGTCATGTCACTCCTCAGGTTATAACTGTCCAGCACCATATCATCTCACTCAGAATAAAATCTCAAATCCGCCCTGGCCGGTTTGGCTCAGCGGTTAGAGCATCGGCCTGCGGTCAAGAGAGACCCCGGTTCGGTTCCCGCTAAGGGCGTGTGCCTCGGTTTCAGTTTGTCCCCAGCCTGGGTTGGTCGTGCTGGTGGCAGCCACTCAAAGTGTCCCTTTTACGTCGATGTTTCTCTCTCTCTCTCTTCCTCTCTCTCCCTCCCACTCTATCTGAATAAAAAATTAAAAAAATGTCCTTGGGTGAAGATAAAAAAAAATCTCAAATCCATCCAAGTCTACAGGGCCTCTTCCCTTCAACTCTTTGATCTCATCTCCTACCTTTCCACCAATTCTAGCTTCCTCACTGCTCTTACTCTTCTTCAAACACATCAAGCATCCTCCCACCTCAGGGCCTTTGCACTTGCTGCTCCTTCTGCCAAGAGGACTTTTCCTTGAGTAGTCTGCCTGGCTCCCTCCCTTCCTTCCTTCAGGCCTTGGTTCACCTGTCACCTTACCAGAGTAGCCTTCCCTGATGTCTCTATGTAAAATAGCCCCAAACCTGTCACTCCCTGTCACTGCTTGGTTTTTCTTCTTAGCACTTATCATTACAGAACATATTATTAAGTGTTATCTGTTTGTTAGCTGTACTGTGTAGTCATCATCTGTTTCCTCTCACTAGAATGTAATCTCCATGAAGGCAGGGATATTTTGGTTAGTTTTGTTTACTGCTACTTTCCCAGTGCCCAGAACAATGCCTAGCACAGAGCGGTCCCTCGGAACTGCCTGACCCGCTGCCCGCGGCTGAGTGAAATGGCACCTCCTCTGAATTTGCTCTCATCACACTCACACTCGTTTCCCATTGTCTGTCTGTCCTTGCTGCTGGTAAGTAAGCTTTGTGGATTTGGGACTCACATGTCTGTCCATGGCTGTATTTCCAAGGCCTGCCAGCATCTGATACATGCTGGGTACTCAGTAAATATCTTTTAATTTAAAAAAAGGAAAACAATGACCCACCCTGACCAGGTGCCTCAGTTGGTTGGTGCATCATCAGATGCACCAAGGTTTCGGGTTTGATCCCCCGTCAGGGCACATACAGGAATCAACCAGTGAACGCACAAATGAAAGAAACAACAAATTGATGTTTCTCTCTCTCCAAAATCAACACATTAAAACAAAACCCACAAATGACTCATATGCCTGTCTGGGCAGTCTCAGACTATCATGTCTCTGTGGCTGGGCTGGTCCCTCAAGGATTCCCTCCCTCAGCCTGCATCTGTCTCGAGGGGCTTCCCACGGAGATTCGTGGGCAAGGGAGGCACCGCTGGGCAGTCTTGTCGGGATGGGAAAGAGTCGGTGCCCTGGTCCTGTGGCCTGGGTCTGGCTTGGGTCCCGGTGAGGGTCAGGGTCAGGGCGGAAGTGGGGGTGGCGCACCTGGCGGGCGAGGGGCTGGCTGAGCGTCTCCCCGTAGGGGCTGAGCGGGGACCCCGAGTAGTACCGCAGCAGGTCCTGCAGCCGTTCGTGGGCGCTGTCCTCGCCCAGCACCACGTGGCGTCCGTCGCCGAGCTGGGCCAGCAGGAAGTGGCGGCAGCAAGTCCGGCTCCTGGAGGGCGCTAGTCAGGATCAGACCGCTCCCCCACACCCCAGCCCTCTCGGCCAGGGCCGCCTGCACCAGGAGCGACCCCGCCCCGCCCGCGCCAGGGTGTCCCAATCTCAGTAGCGGGGTGAGGAGGGGGTAGAGGAGGGGCCGAGCGAAGAGCCCGGCCCCCGCGAGCGGTCAGCAGTTCTGCCCTCCCACCTGGGTCGGCACCCAGCCCCGCCCCTCCGATTAGCCCGGAGCCCGAAGCTCCGCCTCCTCGTCACCGGCTCGAGGCCCGACCCTCACCTGTAAGTCAGCACGAAGGTCACAGCGCTTTCGCTGAACCGCACCAAGTAGCATCCCTGCGGCTTGGTCTCCAGCAGCCTTTCGGCCTCTCTGTGGGTGGTGAAGAGACAGACCGCTGCTCTGACCCTTCCAGCCTTGACCCCTGTCTCCCAGGCTCTCATGAGGGACCCCTACCCCCAGTCAAGCGGACTGAAGTGGCCAGAAGGTTGGAGACGGGAGAGAGTGTGGGCACTGCTCCCCGCTGGCTGTAGGGCCTGGGCGTGGACGGGACCCAGGGCTCCCACCCAGGACAGCTCCCAGCCTGCATCCTGGTCACATCCTGGAAGTGCGCTGGCTGTGTGTGGGCTGGAGGAGGGGTGGGGTGGGGTGGGGTGGGGTGGGGTGGGGTGGGGTAAGAGGGTGGAGTCGGAGTGGTGGTGGAGGTGGTGGTGGTGGTGGTTCTGGTGTGAGTGCTGTGGCTTCAACAACAGGGATGTTAATAGACTTCTAGATGTCAAACGTCAAGCTGAAGGGAGGTGGTGAACAAAGATACAGGAGACGTGAAGCTGAGAAATGGAGGAGGAGGTAGGAACCCAAGGGAGGGAGGAAACAGGAGAGGGCTGGGTGAGCCAGAGGTGAAGATGGAGTGAGCGAGAGCCTGAGAGACAGAGGTGGAAACCATGAGGACTAGAGGCCTTAGATATAGGAGAATAATTGAGGCTAGAGAGGGGAAACTGAGGCACGGGGGAGCCTCTCCAACAATCTCCTCCAGGAGAGATACCTTGGTGAATGGCCTGGAGCCAGAGCCTGTACTTGTAGCCTCCATCTACTCCTGACGGGCTGCGGAGCCCAGGACTTGCCCCTGCCCCTCTCTGGGCCTGTTTCCTCCTCTGTGACTCACCTCCGCGTGATGAAGCCATGGAACCAAGGAGGGGCTGCCCCGTGCTGCAGGAGCCTGTGGGCCTGGGTCTTCTGGAACCAAACCCGGGTCTCGGCCTGCAGGGATTGGCCTCCTTCCCTAGGTACCTCCTCAGCCTTCCCAGTGTCCACTTGACTGGAGGCAGCCCCCAGGGCCTGGGGAGATACCTGGTTAGGAGAGTTCAAGGAAGGAAAGTAGCCATGATTAGTGGGCCTTCTCCTGACTCCAAACCAGCAACCACCTTCTCACCCTCATCCCCAGACCCTCCTGGGCATGGGATGGAAGCTCCCGGCACCCCCATCCCAGTTGCCTATTTTAAGTCTAATTGCCCAGAAAGTCCTTCTCAAGGTCTAACTTAAATCCCTTCTTTAGCTCCAGCTGTTTTGGTTTCTAGGAATTTTCTTTCTACTTCCCTCTGGATCCTGAGGGCCTTTAAACCAGTTGCAGTAAGCTGTTAAACTGTGCTTAAATGGAGGTAAGGCCTTCCAGATGGACAGAGAGTCATACCCTGGCCCGAAGGATGAAGAAAGATGAAGCAAGAGGTCACCCCAGAGACCGGAATAAGGGAGAGCCCACCCTACAGTAAGAGGGACTGAGCTGGCTGGCAGGGAGGATTTTCTAACTACAGGGTGGGCTAGAAGGCGTGAGGTGGAAATGTGCCAGGCAGATGAAGGCCATGGACAGAGATGCAGCTGCCTGCTTCTGGGACTTGATACACTGTACCTTGGTCACCGGGGATTCGGCCTGAGCTTCCCAGGGACAGAGGAGCAGTGAGTGGGCAGTTTAGCACACGAAGGGGGTACTTCTGATCTCCTTTTCCTCTCTCTATGCCCTTGCCCGGTAGGCAGCCCCAGACCGCTCCTGCTGGCTCCCCAGTGGCCTTTGTTCATCTGTGTGTCCTCACCCGTGGGAGGCTTGGCAACAGATGAAGAAGCTGCACACCCAGGTTCCCACTCACCGCAGGGTGGACATCCAGGTCTCTGGGGCCAAACGGGGCCTCTGCAGCCTTCAGGGTCTGGGGTCTGAACTCTGGAAGCAAGCCCAAGCCCTGGCAGCTGTTTTTGAGCAAGTCCACAGGCTGGAAGGTGGTGAAGGTTGGGGTGGGGGTTTTGTGACTCCCTGTTAGCACAAAGAGGACAGGCAGGGCTTCTCAGTGAGGGACTGCCTCTCTCTGCGGCCCACCCCTCCCCCAGGCTTAGAGGTGCCCTGCATGCCCCTGACCCGGGTCTGGAGGACAGGGGCAGTTATGACAGCAGGAGAAATGCAGGTCAGACAGTGGGGGTGGGGGTGGGGGTTTATCAAGGAAGAGAGTAAGGGGCAGAGGGGCAGAGGTAGCAGAGGGGCTTGTTGGGGAAACTGGGTACTAGAAAGGGGAGCTGAATGTCTGGAAGTCAGCCCCACAGTGCAGGCCCCTCTTTTGGCCCTGAGATCCTCTGGCTTCTCCCATCCACCCCTGCTCCCTCCCCCTCCTCCCTAAGAAGCACACAGCAGACCCCATCACTTTGTTCTCAGGGCTGAGTGGACCTGCAGTGCCAGAGAAGGAGAAGGGGTTGTGGGCACCCTGCTATCAGCCTGGCCAGCTCTGGTTTGGGGTAGGGCTCTGAGCCAGAAGAGAGCCAAATGTCGGGGCTTGTTGTCCCCTACCACCAACATTCTTAAACCTCACACTTACCTTGGGGGCTTATCTGGGCCAGGGGGAACTCCATGGGGCAGCCTAAGAGGCGCTGAGGGAGCAGGGTGTGCGCCCGTGTTCTCAGAAGTTGTGCACACTCAGCAACTCTCCTCTCATCCCGGTCCCTTGGGCAGGAAATGTCGCTTTACCCACAGCCCTAGCCCTAGCAGAGGACCCACGTCATGGAAAGCCATTAAGACAATGGTCCCTCCCCCGGAAGCCAGGCAGTTAAAGGTGGTGGTGGTGTGGTGGTAGGTATTTGTGTCACTCTGTGTCTGGGTGGTAGGAAGTTCATACTGCCATCTGACCTTTATCACCCCTGATTCTTGCTTTACTCCCTCACTCCAGACGGGGACTGCCCTTTCTCTCTCTTTCTTTGTCTCTCAGCTTCTGCTCTGAACAGTAGCAGTGGGAATCTCAACCTCAGAAAGATAAACCCTATAAGTTGCTCAGGCTTCGTACTTCCTGGAGATTTATACTCAGGATTATTTTCTTAGGACACACGAGGAGGGAAACTGGCAGGGCTGCAACAGGAAGAATGTAGGTCAGACTTCTGGAAGGACATTTTGAGGTCATATGAAATCTGTGAGACAAAGGGTAGGGAGAAGGGGTCTGGCTTCATCCTCCAGCAGATAATAGAGCTGGGTTTGGGCAAACCAGGCAATTCTGGAGGTAGGGAGGGAGAATTTCTTCCAAGTAGGTAGACTGTTGTTAGTAGTAATGCTATTACCAGTTGTTAATAACTTCAGTGCTGATGTCTTTTTTGTTGTTGGTAAACCTCACCTGAGGACATTTTGCCATTGATTTTTAGAGAGAGTGGAAAGGACAAGAGAGAGAGAGGGAGAGAAACATTGATGTGAGAAAGACATATCGTTTGACTGCCTCCCGCACAACCCTGACCAGGGCTGGGATGGAACCTGCAACCCAGGTATGTGCCCTTGACCAGGAATTGAACCCGTGACTCTTCCATCTGCGGGCTAATGCTCGAACCACTGGGCAACACTGGCCAGGACCAGTGCTGCTGTCTTAAACTTGCAATGGGCTTGTGTCTCCTGCTGCACCAGAAGACCAATCCCATTTCTCTCTCATTTGATCCCTCACAAATGAGAAGGGGACTGGGAACATTATCCCCATTTTCCAGAAGGGAAAACTGAGGCTCAGAGAACTGCATTAGCCAGGGTTTTTCCATGTCTCAGAAGTTGGAGGCAGCGTTGGAACTAGAATTTTGGTGTCTTACTAATTTCACTGTGATTTAGGCCAATGGTCCATGACTATGTGCCAGGTACTGTTGTTGGTGCAAAGAACCCAGAGAAGAAAAGAATCTGGTCTCAACATGTCAGGTAGCATGATTCTGTATATAGAAAAGCCTAAATATGCCACCAAAGGCTATAAGAAACAATAAACAAATACAGTAACATTGCAAGATACAAAATCAATGTACAAAACTCCCTTGCTTTCCTGTATACAATGAAACTTCAGAAAAAGAAATGAAAAACAAACAAAAAAGCAATTCCTTTTGCAATTGTAATCCAAAGAATAAAATATCTAGGAATAAACTTAACAAAGGATGTGAAGAAACTATATACTGAAAACTACAAAGCATTATTAAAAGAGATTGAAAAATATATAATGAAATTGAAAGATATTCTGTGTTCATAAATTGGAAGAATCAACATAATTAAAATGGCCATATTAACTAAAGAAATATACAAATTTAATGTAATCCCTATCAAAATCCCAATGTCATTTTTTTTTTTTTTTTTTAATCCTCACCCGAGGATATTTTTCCATTTTTTGTACAGATAGAGTGGGAGGGAGAGAGAGGAAGGGAGAGAGAGTGAGAAACATCGACGTGAAGGGACACATCGAGTGGCTGCCACCCGCACGACCAACCAGGGCCGGGGACAAACTGCAACCGAAGTACGTGCCCTTAGCGGGAACCGAACCCGGGTCTCTCCGGACCGCAGGCCGACACTCTAACCGCTGAGCCAAACTGGCCAGGGCCCCAATGTCATTTTTTAAAGGAATAGAACAAAATATTTTCAGATTTGTATGGAACCACAAATGACCCCAAATAGCCAAATCAATCCTGAGAAGAAAGAATAAAGCTGGAGATATCACACTACCTGACTTCAAATTATACTACAGAGTTACAATAATCAAAACAGCAAGGTATTGGCAGAAGATCAGACACGCAGATGGTGGAACAGCATCGAGAGTCCAGAAATAAAACCACACGTATATGAGCAGATAATTTTCAACAAAGGAGCAAAAACACACAGTGAAGAAAAGAAAACCTCTTTGCCCTGGCTGGTTGGGCTCAGCGGTTAGAGCATTGGCCTGTGGACCAGAGAGTCCTGGGTTTGGTTTCTGCTAAGGGCATGTTCTTCGGTTGTGGTTTGTCCCTGGCCCTGGTTGGGGTCGTGTGGGTGGCAACCAGTCGATGTGTCTCTCTCACATCGATGTTTCTCTCTCTCTCTTCCTCCCTCTCTCCCTCCCACTCTCTCTCAAGATAAATGCAAAAATGTCCTCGGGTGAGGATAAAAAACGAAAGCCTCTTCCATAAATGGTGCTGGGAAAATTGGAAAGCCACATGAAAAGAATTAAATAGATTACAGTTTATCCTCTTGTACAAAGATTAATTCAAAATGGATCAAAGACCTAAATAAAAGGTCTGAAAAAATAAAGTACATAGAATAAAACGTAAGTCCTAAACTTGGTTGTAAAGAACATTTTATGACTTTGACCCCAAAGGTAAGGGAAGGAAAGGCAAAAATAAATGAATGGAACTATATCAAACTAAAAAGCTCCACACAGCAACAACAAAACAGAAAGTTAACCCACCGAATGGAAGATATTTGTAAACAACAGCTCCAACAAGGGGTTAGTATCCAAAATACTCATATAACTTAACACTAAGCAAACAGTCTAACAAAAAAATGGGCAGAGGACCTGAACAGACATCTCTGACATACAAACAGCCATCAGCTATATGAAAAGATGTTCAACTTCACTAGCTGTTAGGGAAATGCAAATCAAAACTACAATGAGCCCTGGCCAGTTTGGCTCAGTGGTTAGAACATCGGCCTGCGGTCCGGAGAGACCCGGGTTCGGTTCCCGCTAAGGGCACGTACTTTGGTTGCAGTTTGTCCCCGGCCCTGGTTGGTCGTGCGGGTGGCAGCCACTCGATGTGTCCCTTCACGTCGATGTTTCTCACTCTCTCTCCCTTCCTCTCTCTCCCTCCCTCCCATTCTATCTGTACAAAAAATGGAAAAATATCCTCGGGTGAGGATATAAAAAAAAAAAAAAAACTACAATGAGATATCACCTCACACCCGTTGAAATGGTTACTATCAACAAGACAGGTAATAGCAAGTGTTGGAGAGGTTGTGGAGAAAAAGGAACCCTCATTCACTGTTGGTAGGAATGTAAACTGGTACAGCCACTATGGAAAACAGTATGGTTGTTCCTAAAACAACTAAAAATAGAGTTACCATATGACCCAGCAATCTTTTTTCTGGGTATCTACTTGAAAACATTTATTCACCAAGATATACCCACATCTATGTTCATTGAAGCACTATTTACGGTGATCAAGACATGGAGACAACCAAAGTGTCCTTCAATAGAGGCTTGAGAAGATATGGTACATGGGACAAAACAGCTCTGGTACATTTACACAATGGAATACTACTCGACCATAAAAAAAAAAACAAGAAAATTTTACCCTTTGTGACGGCATGGATGGACCTGGAGAACATTACGCTAAGTGAAATAAGCCAGTCGGAGAAAGACAAGTACCATATGATTTCACTCATGTGTGGAATCTAATGAACAAACTGAACTAACAAGCAAAATAGAGACAGACTCATAGATGGAGAACAGGTTGACAGCTCTTGGGGGACCTGGGGGAATGGAAGGATTGAGCAAAAAAGAAAAAAAAGAGAAAGAACTCATGAACATGAACAACAGTGTGGTGATTGCAGGGGGAGGGTTAGAATTGGGTGGAGGTGGAGGAGGGAATAGGAGGAGATAAATGGTGATGGAAAAAATAAAATAAAGAGAGGGGAAAAAAGAAGATGTTACATATATACTATGGAATACTATTCAGCCATAAGAAAGGATGAAATGCTGCCATTTGCAACAACAGGGATGGACCTTGAGAATATTATGCCGAGTGAAATAAGTCAGTCAGAAAAAGCTAAGAACCATATGATTTCACTCACATGTGGTATATAAAACTGAAACTCACAGACACAGACAACAGCATAGTGGTTACTGGGGGAAGGAGGTGTGGGTAGGAAAGAGGAAAGAGAGCCAAATATATGGTGATGGAAGATGATCTGACTTTGGGTAGTGGGCACACAATGCAGTATATAGATCATGTATCACAGAAATGTACACTTGAAACCTATATGACCTTATTAACCAATGTCACCCCAATAAATGTAATAAAAAAGATGTCAGGTGAGGGAGACAAACTTGCCAATGGATAGTTGTTGTGACAAGTTAGTGGTGCCAAGCTACCGGGCACCCACCTCAGAGGCCCCTGCTCCAGCCTGGTGTGTGTGCATAGGGGTTGGGATGTCAGAAGAGAAGACTGAACTGAGTCCTGGAGGATAAATGGGGGTGAGGAGGATGGGGAAAGGTGTTTCCAGAAGAGGCACCACCATGTGCAAATGCATGAAAGACAGAGATGGCACGGTGCCCGGGTAGCCGAGGGTGTGTGTGACTGGAGCGGAAGCTGACTTGGAGGCTGTCAGCTACTTTACTTAACTGGAGGGGCCAGGCCCGGATTCCATGCTGCCTTGCACCAGGAAGGAGTTTGGACTCCCTACGAAGCCTGAAGAGCTACTGCCCCACTAGCTCTGGGCAGGGGAACACTTTCCCTAGCAGTTACCGCTGGCCCAGCCACAGCCACAGCCACACCCCAAAGTCTCAGCTCCTTCAGAGCTGCCAGCTCCCTCTTCCCTTCTTTAAAAACTGTTGCCTTAGCATTGGTCCCAGCCCCAGGGGTTGGAAAGGAGACAGAGGTGCCTCCTGGAGGAGAGAGCCCTACCCCACAAAGGGTTGTTCCCCAGAGGCCTGAGCCTTCAAAAGGCCATTCTATCATTTCATCGAGCCGACTAATTTGGGGTGACAGGGTAAGACCAGGAAATCCTG